ACCATGTATTTGCTAAGAATGGACATACAATTTTAAAACAAGACGTTGGAGAACAAAAAAGGACTTGTTTAAATGTCTTGTGGCCCTGTAATTAATTATATGAGATGGCTGATACGTGCATGAAAACCACTTGTTGAGATAACTGTTCTCTTGTTTGGTATTGAAAAGGCATCAACAACGCAGCATATACCATTGAATATCCGGCAAACCAATCATAAGTAGTAAATTAGGAAGGTAATAATAAGAAAGACCTTTATTACCACGATATAAGTAGTAAAAATAAGGTTTTGTAGAAAGCTCGCACGAATGGATGAATCATCATTACATAATATCGCAAAACAGACGGGTGTCAAAAACTAATTATAGCTTGTTTAAACTATAGCAACACGGAAAGGTGTAAAAAAACACCACCCCCCACAAAAAAAACAAAACAAAACAAGTATAGTTATTCAAAATTATGAAGCTACTGAGTAGGGTTACAAACTTACCAAATACTTTAAAAATAGCATGGCTTTAAGGTGCTTTGATTTGATTATTGGGATATCAAATTGTGATCCTGCCATTGCGTTATAATACGCATATATAAACAATCTTGAAATTAAATGTTGTCCATTCATGTCCAATAGATCAGTGATGCATTTCCACTCATTAATCGTTTGTGACAAATTAAAATAACGATAAAAGTGTTATAATACGCGTTTTCTAAATAAATTTTATAGGAACACAATTTCATCTCAGTTCTTTCTGCTTTCCGTTCCCCCCCTCTCTAATGCAGTAGGGATAAAATATGTTAAAATTTGGAGTAAGAGAGAGAGAAAAAAATTGTGTTGGATGAAAACCCTGAAACTGAATTACACCACAACACAAAAATATTTTTAATAGATTTTATATATAATTATTATATATAATATTAATATATAATATATTCAAGACGTTTGGTGGCCTAGTGTTAGTAGGTCGTATGGTGGTGGTCAATGCTATCCAGTCGAGATTATAAATTTTTCATTAAAGTCAACGAGGCAAATAGTTTCTTACAATGAAAAATGATATATATTGATACCTTAAATGCTGTACTATTTTTTTACATCATACAATATTGCCTTAAACGGTATTTAGATTGACTACAGGACCTGTGTGAATAAATCCTACATCCTTCGGTTGTCGTTACAAATAATATTTCTATGCTGGTTGCTATATACGTCACCTTTGCAGTTATGAAATACTTTAAATTTTTGCAGTTCTATGTTTATTCAATGACATTCAGTATAGACATACTTATGTTAACCTGAAAGATTGGTTAATGAGTAAAGTAGAGCAAACAATATTAGCTACGCCATTCACATGTACACCAGTTTTCAAATACGCGCATGAAGTTAGTGTGAATAGAAAATAAACAAATAACGGAGGTAATAAAATTTTCAATTTTGAGTTGATCAGGTCATTATTTTGCTTTTTATTAATGCTTATCTCTTTCTTTTTGTTTTAACTATCTCTCTCTGTTCGACCTACACACACACACAGAAACACACACTGTCACAACAAAACAACACTTTGGTCGTTTGCTAGTGTTAACAGTATATAAGTCCGAGACTCGAAGGATAGATAACGAAAGTCGTCAAGCTCGTCTTTTAAGGATTTTCGTCCGATTGCTACGAGGTAAGGAGAGAGAGAGAGAGAGAGAGAGAGAGAGAGAGAGAGAGAGAGAGAGAGAGAGAGAGAGAGAGAGAGAGAGAGAGAGAGAGAGAGGGGGGGGCCTCTTGACATTGTCATATTTAATTAATGCTAATCCATTTTTAGAGAATTATAATAGGTAGAGAGCAGGAAAAGATGGAAAGAATAGGTTGTAAAAAGTCAACTGTGGTGCCTCAACGACCTTTCGGGTTACGGGATTGATGATGATAAGGAGGTGGAGGAGGAGGCGGGGGATGATGATGATGAGGAGGAGGCGGGGATGATGATGATGATGATTGTTTTAAGAAACAACAAAAGCAATCAAGAAAAAAATGAAATACACTACAGTGTGTGACCTTGTAACCAAGAAATGTACCGACTAATGTTTACAGTCTATTGCAACTTTGTATAATTGATTATACAAACATTGCAAATAAATTCTAAGGACAGTGTACACATACCTTTACGACGATCCATATTCCTCTTGGTTACTTGTTTTAAGTACAGTTTCAATTTTACATCCAGCAAAAATTATTTTCTCACTTCCAGATTTCTGTGTATTTTACCCCTTATGCACACATGAATGAGATAGGAGGGGGTGGGGAAAGGAAAGCAGAAAAGATTGCGACGAAATTGTATACTAAAATAAATTCGTTCATCTTGTTGGGCATCATTTCTACGCCATACTTTTTTCCATTCGCCGGTACGTTCAGTGTTTGTTGTGCTCTATCATCATCATCATCATCATCATCATCATCATCATCATCATCATCATCATCATCATTAGTCCCGTAGTCTGGTAGACCGTTTGGGCACTGTATGAGACCGGACTTCCATCCTCCTGCGTTCCTCTCGATTTTCCGTCTTTCTCCATGAGTCGCTCAGTGTCAAATCTGTCCAGTCCAGACTGATGTCCTCAAACCTCTTTCTCTGCCTTTCTTCTTCTTTGTACAGTGCCTTGCATGATTGTCTTGGCAAAACCTGATGATCGCAAGACATGCCCATACCACTGCAGTTTACCTTTTTCCACATGTTCAGGATGCCCTTGGTGTTGTAGGTCATCATTTTGGTCTTCTCTGCACTGTTTTTTATACTATAGGTTGCAGTGGTTGTGTCAAAGCTCTCTACTAAAATCTAGTTCTTTCTCGTTTCCTGCTAATCCGTCAATGTCGTCAGCAAAAAAGTAGGTTGGTTCTGCCTCTGATGCTGACTGTCCCTTCATGTTTTTCAAGCGCGTCAACTATGATTCTCTCCAGAAAGATGTTGAATAATGAGGGAAAGCAGACACCCTTGTCTGACTGCGATTGTCGTTCTGAACCAGTCCCCTATGCTGCCGTTTAGGTATACTGCACTTGTGGCCTTGTCATACAGGTGCTCAATTACTGTAATGAGGTTGGCATTGATGTACTGTCTCATGGTCGCCCACAAGGCTGCATGGCATACCATGTAAAACGTCTTCTTGAAATCTACGAAGATGTGCTACAGATCTTGCTGGTGTTCGAGATGTTTCTCACAGAATATCATAAGGATGAAGATCTGCTCTGTTGTGCTGCGCCCTGCTCTGAAACCTGCCTTCTCCTAGGCAATGAACTTTTAAGCCTGTGGCTTTAGCCTGTTCAGTAGAATCATCAACATGACTTTGTCTGGATGACTTATTAGACTGATTGTACGGTGGTTTTGCCACTGTTGCAAGTAACCTTTCTTGTGAAGGGTGATGATCAGATCTTTTTGCAGATATATTTGTGAGGGCGCCAATCATTGCTTTTCCCCTGCTTGGACTAGTTATGCGTGGATCTTGTCCACTCCTGTTGATTTCCTCTTTTTCAGCGATCTCACTGCTGCTTCTACTTCTTCACGTAGGATAGGGTGGATGTCGTTGTTAGTTGCAGTGTACAGTAGAGTCGTTATATATAAATTAGTTTTCAAAATCGAAGAAAAGCCTCAGAGAATGCTGGATTAGATACTGGAATGTTGAAATCAAATGCTGAATTTTAAAAAGATCAACAGAAAATACATTCGACAAATTTGATCACCGATTTCTCGTTCTTAAGTCCAGAAGTGATAGCAGAATTATTTATAAATCTTTAATTTCCACACAGCATTTGAAGAAGATCGATGTGTGAAAAAAAAAATATTAGGTATAAATTTCGAGCTTGAAATTTTTTTTAATGAAAATAAAAACATTTAGAGAACTGTGATATCCATCACAATATGCTAAGCGAGCGCTTTACGGGGTCAACTAATTGTCCAATTCCTTTTTACTGCATAATAAATATGACGGTACATAGGACTTATCAAGTTATTGCAGATAAACTAGATTGGAGTTACTGAACTATCTTTATTAGACGGCTGTTTCACATGAGACTTGTCAAAAATATAATTTTAACCATGTATTTGCTAAGAATGGACATACAATTTTAAAACAAGACGTTGGAGAACAAAAAAGGACTTGTTTAAATGTCTTGTGGCCCTGTAATTAATTATATGAGATGGCTGATACGTGCATGAAAACCACTTGTTGAGATAACTGTTCTCTTGTTTGGTATTGAAAAGGCATCAACAACGCAGCATATACCATTGAATATCCGGCAAACCAATCATAAGTAGTAAATTAGGAAGGTAATAATAAGAAAGACCTTTATTACCACGATATAAGTAGTAAAAATAAGGTTTTGTAGAAAGCTCGCACGAATGGATGAATCATCATTACATAATATCGCAAAACAGACGGGTGTCAAAAACTAATTATAGCTTGTTTAAACTATAGCAACACGGAAAGGTGTAAAAAACACCACCCCCCACAAAAAAAAAAAACAAAACAAAACAAGTATAGTTATTCAAAATTATGAAGCTACTGAGTAGGGTTACAAACTTACCAAATACTTTAAAAATAGCATGGCTTTAAGGTGCTTTGATTTGATTATTGGGATATCAAATTGTGATCCTGCCATTGCGTTATAATACGCATATATAAACAATCTTGAAATTAAATGTTGTCCATTCATGTCCAATAGATCAGTGATGCATTTCCACTCATTAATCGTTTGTGACAAATTAAAATAACGATAAAAGTGTTATAATACGCGTTTTCTAAATAAATTTTATAGGAACACAATTTCATCTCAGTTCTTTCTGCTTTCCGTTCCCCCCCTCTCTAATGCAGTAGGGATAAAATATGTTAAAATTTGGAGTAAGAGAGAGAGAAAAAAATTGTGTTGGATGAAAACCCTGAAACTGAATTTACACCATGGAATCTACAAGAATATGGTTCGTCGTAATAGGATTTATTTACAGTGTTTATATAATCATTAATAAAAAGTTTCAAGACCGCTCTGGTGGCCTAGTGGTTAGAGCGTCCGCATCAAATGCGGGAGGTCGCGTGCTCGATCCCCGGCCGAATTATACCAAAGAATTATATTTTAAAAAAAATGATATAAATGGTATTAAAAGCTTCATCTCTTGCCGTTTAGCATTAAGAGGTTAGTGTTAGGACTAGTCGGCCTGGTGTCAGGATAATGTGACTGGGTGGGACATCATGCTACACATCTGCGGCATGATGCCCCAGTACTGGACATCACTATAAACTGCCACACTGCAGACATCGTAGCGATATGCCTGAAAAATTGTTAAAGCTACATTAAAAATCAAAATCACACGCACATGCACATGCACACCGAGTTTCAATAGAATGTAGACAATTTAATGTTAAATTTCTTGGTTGCAAGGCACACTTACTGTAATATTTTTAATGCGTTATTTTTCTTGTGTTGTTGTTAAGATAAGATTCCGATGGATGTCGAGCTAAAACAGAAAAATGGGTAGCAAATAACCTGTGGTGTGTTGTGAGGAAGAAGAACAGATAAAGACAGCTAAGCGAAAATTTGGAAAGTGATGTTCGGATGACCGGGTGAATATGGGGAGAGAGAGAGAGAGAGAGAGAGAGAGAGAGAGAGAGAGAGAGAGAGAGAGAGAGAGAGAGAGAGAGAGAGAGAGAGGGGGGGGCCTCTTGACATTGTCATATTTAATTAATGCTAATCCATTTTTAGAGAATTATAATAGGTAGAGAGCAGGAAAAGATGGAAAGAATAGGTTGTAAAAAGTCAACTGTGGTATCTCAACGACCTTTCGGGTTACGGGATTGATGATGATAAGGAGGTGGAGGAGGAGGCGGGGGATGATGATGATGAGGAGGAGGCGGGGATGATGATGATGATGATTGTTTTAAGAAACAACAAAAGCAATCAAGAAAAAAATGAAATACACTACAGTGTGTGACCTTGTAACCAAGAAATGTACCGACTAATGTTTACAGTCTATTGCAACTTTGTATAATTGATTATACAAACATTGCAAATAAATTCTAAGGACAGTGTACACATACCTTTACGACGATCCATATTCCTCTTGGTTACTTGTTTTAAGTACAGTTTCAATTTTACATCCAGCAAAAATTATTTTCTCACTTCCAGATTTCTGTGTATTTTACCCCTTATGCACACATGAATGAGATAGGAGGGGTGGGGAAAGGAAAGCAGAAAAGATTGCGACGAAATTGTATACTAAAATAAATTCGTTCATCTTGTTGGGCATCATTTCTACGCCATACTTTTTTCCATTCGCCGGTACGTTCAGTGTTTGTTGTGCTCTATCATCATCATCATCATCATCATCATCATCATCATCATCATCATCATCATCATCATCATCATTAGTCCCGTAGTCTGGTAGACCGTTTGGGCACTGTATGAGACCGGACTTCCATCCTCCTGCGTTCCTCTCGATTTTCCGTCTTTCTCCATGAGTCGCTCAGTGTCAAATCTGTCCAGTCCAGACTGATGTCCTCAAACCTCTTTCTCTGCCTTTCTTCTTCTTTGTACAGTGCCTTGCATGATTGTCTTGGCAAAACCTGATGATCGCAAGACATGCCCATACCACTGCAGTTTACCTTTTTCCACATGTTCAGGATGCCCTTGGTGTTGTAGGTCATCATTTTGGTCTTCTCTGCACTGTTTTTTATACTATAGGTTGCAGTGGTTGTGTCAAAGCTCTCTACTAAAATCTAGTTCTTTCTCGTTTCCTGCTAATCCGTCAATGTCGTCAGCAAAAAAGTAGGTTGGTTCTGCCTCTGATGCTGACTGTCCCTTCATGTTTTTCAAGCGCGTCAACTATGATTCTCTCCAGAAAGATGTTGAATAATGAGGGAAAGCAGACACCCTTGTCTGACTGCGATTGTCGTTCTGAACCAGTCCCCTATGCTGCCGTTTAGGTATACTGCACTTGTGGCCTTGTCATACAGGTGCTCAATTACTGTAATGAGGTTGGCATTGATGTACTGTCTCATGGTCGCCCACAAGGCTGCATGGCATACCATGTAAAACGTCTTCTTGAAATCTACGAAGATGTGCTACAGATCTTGCTGGTGTTCGAGATGTTTCTCACAGAATATCATAAGGATGAAGATCTGCTCTGTTGTGCTGCGCCCTGCTCTGAAACCTGCCTTCTCCTAGGCAATGAACTTTTAAGCCTGTGGCTTTAGCCTGTTCAGTAGAATCATCAACATGACTTTGTCTGGATGACTTATTAGACTGATTGTACGGTGGTTTTGCCACTGTTGCAAGTAACCTTTCTTGTGAAGGGTGATGATCAGATCTTTTTGCAGATATATTTGTGAGGGCGCCAATCATTGCTTTTCCCCTGCTTGGACTAGTTATGCGTGGATCTTGTCCACTCCTGTTGATTTCCTCTTTTTCAGCGATCTCACTGCTGCTTCTACTTCTTCACGTAGGATAGGGTGGATGTCGTTGTTAGTTGCAGTGTACAGTAGAGTCGTTATATATAAATTAGTTTTCAAAATCGAAGAAAAGCCTCAGAGAATGCTGGATTAGATACTGGAATGTTGAAATCAAATGCTGAATTTTAAAAAGATCAACAGAAAATACATTCGACAAATTTGATCACCGATTTCTCGTTCTTAAGTCCAGAAGTGATAGCAGAATTATTTATAAATCTTTAATTTCCACACAGCATTTGAAGAAGATCGATGTGTGAAAAAAAAAATATTAGGTATAAATTTCGAGCTTGAAATTTTTTTTAATGAAAATAAAAACATTTAGAGAACTGTGATATCCATCACAATATGCTAAGCGAGCGCTTTACGGGGTCAACTAATTGTCCAATTCCTTTTTACTGCATAATAAATATGACGGTACATAGGACTTATCAAGTTATTGCAGATAAACTAGATTGGAGTTACTGAACTATCTTTATTAGACGGCTGTTTCACATGAGACTTGTCAAAAATATAATTTTAACCATGTATTTGCTAAGAATGGACATACAATTTTAAAACAAGACGTTGGAGAACAAAAAAGGACTTGTTTAAATGTCTTGTGGCCCTGTAATTAATTATATGAGATGGCTGATACGTGCATGAAAACCACTTGTTGAGATAACTGTTCTCTTGTTTGGTATTGAAAAGGCATCAACAACGCAGCATATACCATTGAATATCCGGCAAACCAATCATAAGTAGTAAATTAGGAAGGTAATAATAAGAAAGACCTTTATTACCACGATATAAGTAGTAAAAATAAGGTTTTGTAGAAAGCTCGCACGAATGGATGAATCATCATTACATAATATCGCAAAACAGACGGGTGTCAAAAACTAATTATAGCTTGTTTAAACTATAGCAACACGGAAAGGTGTAAAAAAACACCCCCCCCACACAAAAAAAAAACAAAACAAAACAAGTATAGTTATTCAAAATTATGAAGCTACTGAGTAGGGTTACAAACTTACCAAATACTTTAAAAATAGCATGGCTTTAAGGTGCTTTGATTTGATTATTGGGATATCAAATTGTGATCCTGCCATTGCGTTATAATACGCATATATAAACAATCTTGAAATTAAATGTTGTCCATTCATGTCCAATAGATCAGTGATGCATTTCCACTCATTAATCGTTTGTGACAAATTAAAATAACGATAAAAGTGTTATAATACGCGTTTTCTAAATAAATTTTATAGGAACACAATTTCATCTCAGTTCTTTCTGCTTTCCGTTCCCCCCCCCTCTCTAATGCAGTAGGGATAAAATATGTTAAAATTTGGAGTAAGAGAGAGAGAAAAAAATTGTGTTGGATGAAAACCCTGAAACTGAATTTACACCATGGAATCTACAAGAATATGGTTCGTCGTAATAGGATTTATTTACAGTGTTTATATAATCATTAATAAAAAGTTTCAAGACCGCTCTGGTGGCCTAGTGGTTAGAGCGTCCGCATCAAATGCGGGAGGTCGCGTGCTCGATCCCCGGCCGAATTATACCAAAGAATTATATTTAAAAAAAAATGATATAAATGGTATTAAAAGCTTCATCTCTTGCCGTTTAGCATTAAGAGGTTAGTGTTAGGACTAGTCGGCCTGGTGTCAGGATAATGTGACTGGGTGGGACATCATGCTACACATCTGCGGCATGATGCCCCAGTACTGGACATCACTATAAACTGCCACACTGCAGACATCGTAGCGATATGCCTGAAAAATTGTTAAAGCTACATTAAAAATCAAAATCACACGCACATGCACATGCACACCGAGTTTCAATAGAATGTAGACAATTTAATGTTAAATTTCTTGGTTGCAAGGCACACTTACTGTAATATTTTTAATGCGTTATTTTTCTTGTGTTGTTGTTAAGATAAGATTCCGATGGATGTCGAGCTAAAACAGAAAAATGGGTAGCAAATAACCTGTGGTGTGTTGTGAGGAAGAAGAACAGATAAAGACAGCTAAGCGAAAATTTGGAAAGTGATGTTCGGATGACCGGGTGAATATGGGGAGAGAGAGAGAGAGAGAGAGAGAGAGAGAGAGAGAGAGAGAGAGAGAGAGAGAGAGAGAGAGAGAGAGAGAGAGAGAGAGAGAGAGAGAGAGAGAGAGAGAGAGAGAGAGAGAGAGAGCATGAAGTTCAGCACGCGCTTTATCGTTTAGCGTCTTTGTCATGAAACTTCAAGTAATTTCAGTTATTTATTTATTTTATTTTGTATTTATTTATATATTGCATAGCAAGTCATATCTTGACTGATTGATTGATTTACTTATGCAATGTATTTGATTTATGGTAATAGTTCAAATTGAAATGCAGCAGTCATATCCTAATGGAGTTGAACAATTTCTAATTAGAGCGATTTTGTCAGATGTGATTTTATCAGCCATGTATTTCATGAAGTCTGTCTCTCTCAAGTTATAGTCTGTAAGATACACCCATCTGTCACCAGGTGAGTTGCTTTCAATACAGGTGTTATCCTTAGGTTTTAATGTAGGGGATATAGTGATATCGTCTTTCTCTCCGTAAATCTGTATCGTTTAGTCTGCTCTTAACTCTATATCATTCTAGGGGGGGGGTGA